ATATGTGGCTATGAAACCATATATCTCACTTAAGTAACTAAAAATCATTGTTTATTATTTAAAGCCGACAAAACAGTATAACAGTTTTAAGTTCAATAATGTTAAGTATTGTATAGAAATATATTGGAGGCAAAGTTCAGTTGATGACAATTGTGTATATGTTACTGATGCTGTAAATTATTTTTAATAAAGAAAATTGTATTATCACATTTGATTCTTGTTATATTTTGTAGTAGTGCGGGGACAGGTGGAGGTGGTTCACTCCTGTAATCCCAACACTTTGGGAAGCGAAGGCAGGAGGATCACTTGAAGTCAGGAATTTGACCCCACCCTGGAAANAGGCAGGGGCGGGAAGGGCAAGGGTGTGGGATGGAATGCAGTGGTCAGGGGTGTCTCTGAGAGAAGAGGAAGGTCAGGTGCGGTGGCTCAGGCCTGTAATCCCAGCACATTGGAGGGCCGAGGCAGGTGGATCACTTGCAGTCAGGAGTTTGAGATCAGCCTGGCCAACACGGTGAAACCCCATCAAAAAAAAAAAAAAAAAAAATAGCGTGGTGTGGTGGTGTGCACCTGTAGTCCCAGCTACTTGGGGGGCTGAGGCAGGATGATTGCTTGAGCCTAGTTTGAGGCTGCAGTGAGCTGTGATTAGGCCACTGCTCTCCATCCTGGGTGACACAGCAAGGTCTTGTCGTGTGTTGTCACCATGAATTTTGTGTTTCCGTGGTGTTAGCACTGAATTGTAAGCATTTTTTTTTTCAATATTTCCCTATCATTCTATTAATATCTATATGATCCGTGAAAGGATCACATTTTATTACCAATATTGGTAACTTGTGTTTTCTTATTTTTCTTGATCAGTCTTTCTGAGGGGTTAGAAATTGAATTAATTTTTTAAAGAGCCATTTTTTTTTTGAGATGGAGTCTCTGTCGCCAGGCTAGAGTGCAGCCGCACAATCTCGGCTCACTGCAACCTCCACCTCCCGGGTTCAAGCGATTCTCCTACCTAAGCCTCCTGAGTAGTCTCAGCTACTCAGGCACGTGCCACCACACCCAGCTAACTTTTGCATTTTTAGTAGAAACATGGTTTCACCATGTTGGCCAGGGTGGTCTCGATCTCTTGACCTTGTGATCTGCCTGTCTCGGCCTCCAAAAGTGCTGGGATTACAGGCGTGAGCCAGTGCACACGGCCAGAGAGCCAGTTTTTTTACATTACTTATTTTCTCCATTGTTTTCTGGTTTTGGGTTTTTTGTTTTTTTGAGATGGAGTCTCACTCTGTTGCCCAGACTGGAGTACAGTGGTGCAATCTCGGCTCACTGCAACCTCCACCTCCCGGATTCAAGTGATTCTCCTGCCTCAGCCTCCTGGATAGCCGGATTACAGGTGTGCGCCACCATGCCTGGCTAATATTTAGTTTTGTATTTTAGTAGAGACAGAGTTTCACCGTGTTGGCCAGGCTGGTCTCAAACTCCTGACCTCAGGTGATTGACCCTCCCCAGCCTCCTAAAGTGCTGGGGTTACAGGCGTGAGCCACCACCAGCCTAGCCTGTTTCCTGTTTTATTGGTTTCTGCTCTTAAATATTTTCTTTGTTACTTAATTTCCTCCTTTCCCCCCAGCTTTGTAAAACTTTTTCTCCAATGTAAATGTAAATATTTAAATTTCCCTCTAAGCACTGCTTTAGCTGTAGCCCACTGTGGAGGCTAAAGCCAACTTTGAACATTTTAAACAACTTGTAATATATAAAGGAAGTATCGTAAAGTTGCTGAGCCATTGTTTTATAATATAAAATCATCTCTATAATCTCAGTGTAAACTGTTCATTTTGTTTCACTCCAGTTTATCACTGAGGTTTTTTTTTTAATTATAAAAATAGAGGTGGGGTCTCACTGTGTTGCCCAGGCTGGTCTTGAACACCTGGCCTCAATCAGTCCTCCCATCTCAGCCACCCAGACTGCTGGGATTACAGGCCTGAGCCACCATGACCAGCCACTGAGCTGTCTTTGAGAGCCACTACTTAAAGTTGTCCAGTAGCCAACTGAAGAAGCGTTAATACATTGTACTAAATAAATAAATGACTTTTTATTCCCTTTAGAGACGGATCTCACTATGTTGCCTAGGCTGTCCTCGAACTCCTGGGCTCAAGCACTTTTCCTGCCTGAGCCACCTGTAATAGCTGGGACTACAGACGTGAAGGCAACACCATGCCCAGCCTAAAATGACATATCTTGTACATTGGTGGAACTTTTAAAAATCGTGATAGCCAACGTTGGCATTATCGAGAGGAAAACAAGATTTGGCGACACGTATTAAGAGGCTTAGGCTGGGTGCAGTAGCTCATGCCTGTAATCCCAAGACTTGGCAAGGCTGAGGATCACTTAACCCAGGAGTTCAAAACCAGCCTGGAAAGCATGGCGAAACCCATCTCTGCAAAAAATTAGCCGGGCGTGGTGGCGCATGCCTGTAGTCCCAGCTACTTGTGAAACAGGTGGGCGGATCCCTTGACCCCAAGAGGCAGAGGCTGCAGTGAGCCGAGATGATGCCACTGCATTCCTGGGCGACAGACTGAGACCCTGTCTTAAAAAAGCTTTAGGCCGGGCACGGTGGCTCAAGCCTGTAATCCCAGCACTGTGGGAGGCCGGGGCGGGTGGATCACGAGGTCAAGAGATCGAGACCATCCTGGTCAACACGGTGAAACCCCGTCTCTACTAAAAATACAAAAAATGAGCTGGGCATGGTGGCGCGTGCCTGTAATCCCAGCGACTCAGGAGGCTGGGACAGGAGAATTGCCTGAACCCGGGAGGCGGAGGTTGCGGTGAGCCGAGATCGCGCCATTGCACTCCAGCCTGGGTAACAAGAGCGAAACTCCGTCTCAAAAAAAAAAAGCTTTAAAGGTGTTTATTCTCTTATACTTAGTAGTATGACGCTGAGCAGTTTAAACACGTCATTTAAAATTTACAAAAGATTTACGTATGAGGATATTTTTAAAAACAAGAAAATGCTCACTTAAAGTGAAAAAGGCGATTTACAAAGTACTTTTTGTTTTCTTTTTTGAGACGGAGTCTTGCTCTGTCGTCCAGGCTAGAGTGCAGTGGTGCAACCTCAGCTCTCTGCAACCTCTGCCTCCCAGGTTCAGTCAATTCTCCTGCCTCAGCCTCCTAGTAGCTAGGATTACAGGCACTCACCACCACCCTCGGCTAATTTTTGTGTTTTTAGTAGCGATGGGGTTTCACCATGTTGTCCAGGTGGGTCTCAAACTCCTGAGCTCAAGTAATCTGCCCCCATTGGCCTCCCAAAAAGCTGAGATGGTAGGGTGAGCCACCTCGCCCTACCAAATACAGTATTTCTAAAGAATTCAGGGAGCGTAAACAGGCACATTCCAAAAAGGGCAGTTGTGGATCCAGTAGCCGTGCCTCCAGTTATCACAATTTCCAGATTCAGTCTTAATTCCCATTCCCTGATGCAAGAGAAGTAGAAAAACACAGACCCGTAGAGGTGGAATGAGAGGCGGAAGTAATTGAGAAGCCGCTCGAGGGAAAAAGCACGCAGAGAGGCCTAAGGGAGCCGGATTCCAATTCTGATTACAGAAAATCCAAGTTGAAATCACTCTTTGACAATCTAAATGAATCAGATATTATGTTCCCCTGGGGTTGGGAGAAACAGTCCTGCTTTTTGGTGATTAGAAGTGAAGCAGATAAGAACTGTATCTAAAGCAGGGGAAGAAGCCTCCCTCAGTAGGTGGTTGATACGAGTTTGGGAATCATCCAAGTCAATCAGGGTGACTGTAGATAACCCGAGTGTGTGATATCCTGACAGAAAACAAAGGGTGGATGTGCATCGGCAAAAGCAAAATACAGACTAAGTTGCAGGCATGAGTGGACCAGTGCCCAGGACTCTCTTCCAGTAGCCTCCAGTAGATAGAGTGCTCCTACTTAGCGGGGAAGTCCTGCATGGCTGGAGAAGGGCATCAAGTTGTATATCAGGGCCTCATGCCCTTGACAGTTAAGATCATCCAACTAACCTGGCTGTTACCCCATGAATCTCGTATAGCCTTCTGAAAATCATGGGGTCTCTGCGGACTTTACCGCAGAAAGAGAACCCACTGACTGCACTACCTACATAAAGAGTTTGACCCCATCACCAGTTACATTTCTCAGTGTAAATGAATCATTCATTCACAGGAGACCCGAACCGTGGTGACCCCAGCCCCCTGGAAAGCCTGTTGGGGGGGGGGCTTCACTCTCCCTACACATCTATTATGTTGAATTAACTGGTTTAGGAAGAGAGGGGAAAACTAGTGCTGTGGCAAGAGTCTAAACAGAGCAGGGTGACCAGCGTCTGTTGAGGCTCTATGACCGCTAGGTTTCTCGTTTCCTGTCAGTACAAGGAGCTAGTATACCTACTGGATAAATAAGACCGTTCGGGGTTTTTGTTCTGTTTTGTTTTTTTGAGACGGAATCTCACTTTGTTACCTAGGCTAGAGTGCAGTGGCGCAGTCTTGCTGACTGCAACCTCAGGACCATTGCAGTTCCTGGGGGTGGGATCGGGTCAAGTCTCCCTGGGGCCACGTTTTCCAAAGGTGGCCTCCAGGATACATGCATCCAGCAGAAGGAGGGAAGGCTGGGAAACAAAAACGTGGATGTAGCTGAGCAGCTGTCAGTGTTACCACCACCACTACGTGGACCCGGGGGAACTCCGAGGTGCCACTCAAGAGCCGGAAGCCCGCCCACTCGGGGGTGGGGCTGCAACCCAGAGAGCCAATCTGGAATAAGAAGCCAAGTTCCTGAAAACGTAGCCGGATTCTGACTGGAATACTCACCGTGAGAAGGCGGGGCAGGGTTACAGAAAGCCAATCAGAAGCCCGATCTCGGAATTCCTGTTCGCAGCCTCCGAGGCGGGGCCGGGAAGAGGCCTGGTCTCCTGGCCGCGCCCCGCCTTCCCGTAGTCTGCGCTGACTGGGCGGCGGGGGACCCGGAGGAGCCAATCAGAAGTCAGGCTCGCGGGACTCGGAGGAGGGGCGCGGGCCCCGGGCCCTGCTCTATCTCCCAGCGCGAGTGCAGGGCCGGGGCCGCAGTGCCTGGCTGCTGCAGAGCGGGATCCACCCCAGGACGTCGGGTCGCTGCCGGTGAGACGAGGAAGGGGGAGCAGAGACGAGCCCGCGGCCCCGCGGTGGGGATCGGGGGCGCCCTCGAGGGCAGGGAGGCTCGCTGGAGGTGTGGAGCCGGGAGTCCTGTGCCTCAGGCTCCCCCAGCTCCCCTCAGCTCGCTGCGGCAGTGACGGGCAAGCCACTCTCCTCCCCGGACCTCACCTGTACCAGGAGGGCAGGGCTGGGACCCCAGAATGAAGGCGTGGCACGGAGAGGCTGTCGAGGCCAGCCCCGCCCGGCAGATGTCTCCTGGGAGCAGTCTCAGCTCCACAGGACCTCAAGATAACGCTGCGAACCTGACTCACGCGCCCCCCTCCTCTCTTTCCTGCCTCTAGGTTCAGCAGTCCCTCCGCAGCCCGCTCACCCACCACTCTTTCCCCTTCGCCCACCGGGAAGACCCTTAAAAGCACCTAGTAATGCACCGCTGTCTTTGCAAAACTGCGGATGCTAGATTCCCCGCCTTTCTGTTTGGTGATCCCCTTGGGATCCCCTTTCTGTTTCGTGAACCGCTCCGTGGGTCTGTGGAGTGAAGGTCACCCTTGATTCATCATTTAATATTAAATAAGGGACTAGCTTAGGGGCTGAGAATACGGAGATTGACTGGGTATAATCCCTTGGAGGGACACAGCAAAAGGGAATGTAGGAGAAGAAAGGTGAAGTTGGAAGACATGCTAAGGTAGAATTTACCAGACTTTATTACACATTGGGAGTGAGGGACAGGAAAGAATCAGGAATGACTCCTGTTTCTTGTCTGGTATACCTTGCACAAAGTACAGAGTCTAAGGTCCAGTCCCCCTGGCTGTAGGACAAAGGTGGTGAGATTCTTGTGCAGACACTTGGAGTTGGAAAACACTTGCTTCCTGCGGGCTTTTTTTAGGAGCTAAAATACTGTTGGCTGGATATACAGACCAACGACCTATAGGACCTGAATTCCTCCTCTCCCTTTGAATGAAGTAGGAAAAAAAATTAATTTTTTAAAATGCGTGAGTGGACAACATAGTGAGACACTGTCTCTTTAAAGAAAGAAAAAGAAAAAAAGGACAGGCACGATGGCTTGCACCTGTAATCCTAGCACTTTGGGAGACCAAGGTAGGAGGATTGCTTGAGCCCAGAAGTTTGGGACCAGCCTTGGCAACATAGCGGGATCCTGTCTCTTCAAAA